ATTCTGAGACATCTATATGATTGTAACAAAAGTCCACTGAAGGCGAGTTGTAAAGAACCAAAGTGCAGCTTTATTAATAGACATAACCAAAAACAAAAAAAAAATCAAAGACATGGCTTGGCTTGAATAGACTAGACATAAGCATGAACATAGAAACAACTCACTGACAGTGGTACAGGGAACAAAGCTAGACAACGGACAATGAAAACCTGGAATACATGGTCTTACCTACATGTAAATGTGCTAAAACTGCAAAATACAAATAGTATTATTACATGTGGTTTAATGTTGACAGCACTGCATGAGTGCTCTCCTGGGCCCACAATATTTATAATTATTAGTATTTATTCATTATTATTCATATTTAATATCAGTATAAGACTGCAGTTAAAGGGATAGTTCACCCAAAAATGAAAATTCTGTCATCATTTACTCACCCTCAGGTAGTTCCAAACCTGTATAAAGTTCTTCTGCTGAACACAAAGGAAGATATTTGGATGAATGTCAGTAACCAAACAGATATTGCCCCCATTGACTACCATACTATTTATTTTTTTCTACTATGGCAGTTGTGAGGACCCATGTCGTATGTGGGGTTTTCCCTTGGCTGTCTTGTACGTTGGTACTGCCCTCCCAACTGATTGCTCTCGGATGGGTTCATTGAGCATTTTAAAAGCACTATGACAATTGGCCATGGGAGAGCTGCACATTGGACTTGATTTTGTTTGGTTTATTTGAACTTGTTTCTTTTCGTACAGCCAACATTGCTACAGCACATTGCACTTTCATGCATTCACTTAACTTTACACCACTGATTCTTGACTGTTCCATGAAACATATGAAACATTTTCTTTTTTTCTGTATAGTTCTATTTTTTTTATACATTTTGCATTCTATTTAGGCTTTCTAGGCTTTCTTTATTTTTGTTACGTCCTGTTCGAGCCATGGGGTTTAACAAATGGGGGCTCGTCCTCGTCATAAAATTAGTTTGACAGTGTGAGGATGATTGAAATATTTTGTTGTTTATTGTTTTGGATTTAATTTGTTTGAACACTGTTTGAAAATATCAGAATCAGAATGAGCTTTATTGCCAAGTATGTTTGCACATACAAGGAATTTGTTATAGTGTCACAAGCTTCCAGTACACGGAGACAACAACAACACACAGATAATAAAAATGAGATGTGAATAAAATACACATGCATAAATATAAACCACAAAAAAAGAATAAATTGTATGTACAGGTGTGCTATAGATAGAATAGGAATAGAATAAAATAAAATAAAGTTGTAGGGATGTACTAGGATTTAGGGTGATAAATAAGTATAAGGTTATTGCACATACTGTACTTTAATTGCACAATGGGAGAACATTAACTGTTCATGAGGTAGATTGCCTGGGGAAAGAAACTGTTCTTGTGCCTGGCTGTCCTGGTATTCGGTGCTCTGTAACGCCGACCAGATGG